CCCCCCCTTCCCCCCTCCCGCTGTTGTTTGCGGGGCCGACCGCGCCCGCTGGCTACCGCGGCGTGCTGCCACATATTTCACTCTCATTTCCCCATTCAGGACAGGAGGGAGAAGAAACAACAGGCCGCAGAAAGAGAGCTCGCGAGAGGCTGGTGAGAGAGAGAGAGAGAGAGGGGGGGGGCGGCGGGGTACAGACAAACATGGGGGGTGACACACAGGCTGTTGCAAACAGCGGAGCGACGCAACCAGTTGCGGTCTTCGTTTTACAGCCAAGAAAACAAGGAAAGTAAAACGGAATTGAAACAATGATGCTTCTCGGTGTGGGGCTGGGCGGCGAGCGGTGCAGGTTAGTGGAAGTTGGCGTGGGTGGTCTTTGCATCGCCCGCGCTCCGGGATAGACCAAGGCCAAGTGGGGGGGAGGTAGAGAGGGGAGGGGGAGGAACAAGTGGAAAACTTAATTGTAAACTTGCTACAGTATGTTCCTTCCTGCTATCTGCCCCCCTCGCTGCGACATTCCGTTCATTAGCAGTCGACGCTCCCTCCACCTCCACCTCCTCCTCCCCCTCCGTGCCTATCTGGCTGACTTTAGGCCCATTCCAGGCCAGCTCTCTAGGCTTGCCCGACTTTTATGCGAGCAGCCAGAGAGACAGCAGCAAACCCTCGCCGGCCCCGCCAGCACTTCCACTTCCAGCAAACCGACCCCACCCCCTCCTAGCTCCGCGCCATGGGGGAGGCCGGCACGGGCCCCCCAGGCCGCTGCAACAGTTAGTCGACAAGTGATTGGGCAGGCCGAGGCGACAAGGCCCGGGACCCGCTGTAGGAGCCCGTGTAAGGCCTCACGATCGTCTCTGTAATCGCCTTATGGGGCCTTGCGGCGTCGGCACCGCCCGAGCCACCCGCGGGGTGGGGTGGTGGGGAGGTTCTCGGCTAGGGGGGAGCCCCCGGGGGCAGGACCTTTGCCCTCGCTGCGTGTTTGGCTTTGGCCCGCGCTGGCGCTACAGTGTACAGCGGGTGCCCCCCACCCCTCTCCCACACCCACCCACACGTGGAATGCACCCTCGCAAAGTTCCTCCCATTCCTCCCCCTACTCCCCTTTCCATAGCGGGCCCACTTCAAACATACCAACCAGAGGGGCGGTGGCGGCTGCATGCGCTGCACAGGGCCTGACGAGCAGCCCCCCCCCCCCCCTCCTTCTCCTCCTCCTCACACCCATCCCACACTTCAAAACTATGTATGGGTTGGGCGCACACACACATTTTTCCTTTGTGTAAACAGTCGTTTCAAAAATTGTTTCCAAACCGAACATTGCGAGAAATTAAATAAACTTTTCAGAAAACTCTCATCAACTGCACGATCTGGTTCGTCCCCTAAACCGTCTGTACTCTCCGTGTTGCAGACAGCTCGCGCATGTGCTTCCGCAGACGGGCACGCCCGTGAGCGCCACGTTCAGCTCGGGGCTGGCCGCGGCCGTGGCCGCCCTACTCATCCGGCTGGAGGTGCTTGTCGAGATGATGTCCATCGGTGAGTATGGTATTGCACCCCCGAGGCAGGTTCGGGATGCATAGGTCTTTCGCACACCACGTACACGACGGTGTTTCTCATACCAGCGGAGATACAGTAGACTCTGGCTGACTTCGTCCACCACGTACACGTCGGTACCGCACACCACCCTGAGGGGAGAAAATGGAAACGAATCGGTACGGAGCACGATGTGGTAGGGAGCAGGCAACGTGGTACGGAGAAACTCGGTACGCAGCAGGTCAACAAAAGTGGCCCTCCACCCAGATTAGAGAGCTGGCCGCCGTCGAACTTGGCTCTGTAGTTTTGCCCAGCCCTCCATCCTCCTCCGAACCGTGCTACTGGGAGAGCGAGAGCTCTCTAATCTGGCGTTGGCATGCTGGGTCGGCCGTGGCCTCCGGCTCGGACTGCTGCGCCAGGCCTCCTTGGTGTAGTGACAGCTGGCCGAGGACGAGGACGACGAGGACGCAAGCTGTCGCCACCGGCGCTACGAGGGCGCCGCCAGAGCAGAAGGTCACCGAGGGGCAGCGAAGCGCCAACACGAACGCTCCCGCACAGCGGATAAAAAAAAAGGGAGAAAGAGTGCTGCGCGCTGCAAGTTGGGGGCTGGAAAAGCAATCAATAATTCGCTCTCTTTTTTGCCCGCTTCCAGGCACGCTGCTCGCCTACACCCTGGTCTCCACGTGTGTCCTCATCCTCCGGTACCAGCCCCACTCCACCAACCTCATCGACCTGCTGCCCGAGTCGCTGCGGACGCCCATCAAGGGCTCGCCCACCAAGGACACGGTAGCCAACGGCCAGGTGAGTGCCCGTCCTCCGAGTGTTTATTAATGAAACCATATGAAGTTGCAACGAAATACGCAAGGAAATAATTCTTTTTAAAAAAACGCGAGAAAAGGGTATTTTATAGATTGGAGAGATTAATTGCAATTTCCCCACAATTCTCTGTGAATTTATTTCTCGCTCAAAAACAACTGTCAGTTCGTTCATGTCTACTTGCGTTGCGTTGTCGGCGTCCCCGGGGGAAACCCATCCCCCGCCCTTCACCTCCGCACCACCAGGGGGGCGCGAGGCAACACGATACCGCCTCGAACGGGTGTTCATGGCGCCCGGCTCGCGCGGTCGGTCGGCTCCCAGAAGAATTAATCTCAATATCGCACGGGGGCCCGGGCGAAAGCGGCAGGATATCGGGTGTCGCGGCCCGCCCCTGCCCCCGCCACAGCGCGGCCCGCCACCGCCCGCCCGGCCGCGACCAGCACAGCACAGCGCCGGGCTCAAGACGCGCCCCTTCCTGCCGCCGCGCCCGACAGGCCATACATTTCCCCCATCTTCGAAAGTTCTGGGCGCGCGCGGGCAGAAGAGGAAGGGGGTTGGGGTTGCAGGGGAAGAGGACAGGACAGGCGACGCCGGAAGTCCTACCGGATGATACAAATGCCTCTCTCGCGCCTCCCTTCCGCATCCGCAGCTGCTGCCGCTTGCCTCCTTCCTCCCCGCAGCGCTGCGCCGCTGCTGATTCCTCCACAAACTCGCCCCCCGCCGTCCCTTTCCTTTCGAGCCCCCGGCCCCGGCGGCGGCGGCTGAGGCGGCGGAGCGGACCCGTTCAGTTAAAGTGGACCTCTGCAGTGTGTGTGGGCCGTGTCGAGTGGGATGTCTACGCGTGCAGGGTGTCCCGACCCCGGCCTGTACGGGAGAAAGAAATGTGCGGAGGAATGTGGGCCACGGTCAAGGCTGGGCAGGAGGGGTGGGGCGGGGCGGGGTGGACCGGCGAACAGCCCATCAGGCCTCGCCACCCTTTACTTTACACAAGAGGTGGGAGCCGCAGATACCACAAGAAGAGGAGGGGGGGTGAAAAAAGGGATGGTGTGCTGCCGGAGAGGTCATGTGGGTGAGGAGAGGTCCGGGGAAGAGGGGGGAGGAGGGAAGGGGATGACAGGAGTTGAGGCCCCGAGTGAGCTGCTCCTTAAAAAAGAAGTTACGACTTTTACGAACAGAGCGGCTTCGTTCCACTCCGTTCCGCTCCGCCTCGACCGCTCCCAGTAGTTCAGTTCAGTCCCTCCCCGAGCCCCCCGAGCCCCCGGCGGCCCCGAGTGCACCACCAGGATTGCTGCAGAACGGCCGGGAGGAGAGGGCGATCTGGGAGAGAAGCGGCTGGGGAAAATCGCTGCGGTAAGAGGGTGGGGGGGGGGTCAACTGCGGCGTCGTGGCGACCCCCTCCGTCGTGGAACAAGTGCGCACGACGTGAAGAAGGACACGACCGAAAAGAACTTTTTTTTTTTTAAACGGACCCGTTTCTTCCAGACAGTTGGGGCGCGCGGGGGG